TCTGAGGATACAAAACATCACATAAGTCCCCCATGTTATCCTGCACACTTGTGGGAGATTTGCATTCTGCTGCACGATCTACCTTGTGCTTCAAACACCCACCCTCAACTCTGAGTAAAACAGATTTTGCAGAAAGATGGATAACTTATTTTCCTTGGGGATTCATACAGGTCATATTGCTATTTGAGAGGCAATGGCCCTGAGTGCTCTAGAATTTTATTTGTGGATTAGATCAGAAGGCAGGGCAGTTTCTACACTGCAGTTTTCAGTGCTTTCTCCAGAACTTTTACTGAATGGTCCTTGGAATTATACTACTGCCCTACAGTGAACATAGTAAGGAATGAATGAAGTCGAAGTGAAGTCACTCAGTCACGTCTGACTCTTTGTGACCCCATGGACTGAGCCTACCAGGCTCCTCTGTCCATGGAATTTTCCAGGCAAGAGTACTAGAGTGGGTTGCCATTTCCTTCTCCAGGAGATCTTCCCAACCTAGGGATCAAACCTGGGTCTTCCACATTGCAGGCAGATTCTTTACCAACTGAGCCACGAGGGAAGGCCACAGAAAGGGAAGGACCTCCTAAATCCTCTTAGCAAGAAAGTGGTCACGATTGCATGATGCAAAATGAGACCCCACAGAATAAAAAGAAAAGGGGAGGGGACAGATTTCCGGAAAACCTTCCCTCTCTTCCTGCACGTAAAGTGAACACTATCCTCACTCATGTTTGCCCTTCCTATTCTGATATTCTTTCCTCTTTCTTCATTTGCCTAGCACCTATTTTTTTCTTATTTAACCTCCATATATATGGTAGGCAGCATTAAATCCTCCCCAGGACAAAGCTGAATATGACTTTAAAAGGGGTAGGACAAAGGAGAAAAGGGAAGATATTCCCATTTGAATGCAGAATTACAAAGAATAGCAAGGAAAGATTTTCTTATCTTCCTCAGCGATCAATGCCTTCCTCAGTGATCAATGCAAAGAAATAGAGGAAAACAATAGAATGGGAAAGACCAGAGATCTTGTCAAGAAAATGAGAGATACCAAGGGAATATTTCATGCAAAGATGGGCACAATAAAGGACAGAAATGGTACGGACCTAACAGAAGCAGAAGATATTAAGAAGACGTGGCAAGAATACATAGAACTATACAAAAAATATCTTCATGACCCAGATAACCAGGACGGTGTATCACCCACCTAGAGCCAGACATCCTGGAATGCGAAGTCAAGTGGGCTTTAGGAAGCATCGCTACGAACAAAGCTAGTGGAGGTGATGGAATTCCAGTTGAGCTATGTCAAATCCTAAAGATGATGCTGTGAAAGTGCTGCACTCAAAATGCCAGCAAATTTGGAAAACTCAGCAGTGGCTACAGGACTGGAAAAGGTCAGTTTTCATTCCAATCCCAAAGAAAGGCAATGCCAAAGAATGCTCAAACTACCACACAATTGCACTCATCTCACATGCTAGCAAAGTAATGCTCAAAATTCTCCAAGCCAGGCTTCAACAATATGTGAACCATGAACTTCCAGATGTTCAAGCTGGTTTTAGAAAAGGCAGAGGAAAAGAGATCAAACTGCCATTGGATCATCAAGAAAGCAACAGTGTTCCAGAAAAACATCTAATTCTGCTTTATTGACTACGCCAAAGCCTTTGACTGTGGGGATCACAATAAATTGTGGAAAATTCTGAAAGAGATGGGAATACCAGACCACCTGACCTGCCTCCTGAGAAATCTGTATGCAGCTCAAGAAGCAACAGTTAGAACTGGACATGGAACAACAGACTGGTTCCAAATTGGGAAAGGAGTATGTCAAGGCTGTATATTGTCACCCTGCTTATTTAACTTACATGCAGAGTACATCATGCAAATGTACATCCGGGCTGGATGAAGAACAAGCTGGAATCAAGACTGCCGGGAGAAATATCAATAATCTCAGATATGCAGATGACACCACCCTTATTTGGCAGAAAACGAAGAACTAGTCTCTTGATGAAAGTGAAAGAGGAAGTGAAAAAGTTGGCTTAAAACTCAACATTCAAAAAACTAAGATCATGGTATCTGGTCCCATCACTTCATGGGAAATAGATGGGGAAACAATGGAAACATTCAGAGACTTTATTTTCTTGGACTCCAAAATCACTGCAGATCGTGACTGCAGCCATGAAATTAAAAGACATCTGCTCCTTGGAAAAAAAACTATGACCAACCTAGACAATATATTAAAATTACTTTGCCAACAAAGCTGTCTAGTCAAAGCTATGGTTTTGCCAGTAGTCATGTATGGATGTGAGAGTTGAACCACAAAGAAAGCTGAGTGCCGAAGAACTGATGCTTTTGAACTGTGGTATTGGAGAAGACTCTTGAGAGTCCCTTGGACAGCAAGGAGATCAAACCAATACGTCCTAAAGGAAATCAGTCCTGAATATTCATTGGAAGGACTGATGCTGAAGCTGAAACTCCAATACTTTGGCCACCTGATGCAAAGAACTGACTCCTTGGAAAAGACCCTGATGCTGGGAAAGACTGAAGGCAGGAGGAGAACGGAACGACAGGGGATGAGATGGTTGGATGGCATCATCGACTCGATGGACTTGAGTTTGAGCAAGGTCTGGGAGTTGGTGAAGGACAAGGAAACCTGGCGTGCTGCATGCAGTGCATGGGGTCGCAAAGAGTCAGACATGACTGAGCAACTGAGGGGCAGACACTGATGATCCACTGGGCACTGCTGGAACATTCTAGGGAACAGAGATCCTTCCTTCCTGCGCACACCACCTAACTCATCACAGAAAAGTGCTGCAGCCAGGGACAGTGGAGTGCCTGCTCAAAAGCTTCCTTTCCTCTTCTCCCAAAGTTTGCAAAAGGACTCATTCCTGTATTTAAAGAGCAGAAGCAAAGCAAACCATCATGTATTTAACCATTTTTTTCTATCCACAAAAGGTGGCTTTTATTATGAAATACGCAGATTTGAGTCAGTGCCTTGAAACCTGCTCAATTCACGGTGTTGCACTAAATGGTTTATAAATTACAGCACCCACAGACACAACCAAGGATACATTTATAATATAACTAAGTTATGAGTAAGCTGAATTTCCAACTCAACTATGCTTTTCAACTCAATGTGCTTATCATTGTGTCAATTGATATTACAAAAAGCCCATAATGGAACCAAGACTCTTCTCCTTTCCTAAATTCAAGGTACTTCCAATTCCAATTTACACAAGCCTAAATTCCTAGGTTTTTTTGAATTTCAAACATATTTTAGCCTTTAAAGAGTAAATACAGGAGTATAAATTGATGCAACTTTTCTAGGAAGCAATGTGGCAGTAAACACCAAGAGCCTTAAAAACGTTCCTCAGCTTTCACCCAGTAATTCCATTTCAGAGAACCTATCTGCTGTGAAGGATTAAAATGCTGATCATTGATATATTAATTAAAAATGGATTATATATCAGCAGATGAATGGATGAGGAAGCTGTGGTACATATACACCATGGAATATTACTCAGCCATTAAAAAGAATTCATTTGAATCAGTTCTAATGAGATGGATGAAACTGGAGCCCATTATACAGAGCGAAGTAAGCCTGAAAGATAAAGACCATTACAGTATACTAACACATATATATGGAATTTAGAAAGATGGTAACGATAACCCTATGTGCAAAACAGAAAAAGAGACTCCTATGTATAGAACAGACTTGTGGACTCTGGGAGAAGGCGAGGGTGGGATGTTTCAAGAGAACAGCATTGAAACACGTATATTATCTAGGGTGAAACAGTTCACCAGCCCAGGTTGGGTGCATGAGACAAGTGCTCGGGCCTGGTGCACTGGGAAAACCCAGAGGGATTGGGTGGAGAGGGAGGTGGGAGGGGGGACCGGAATGGGGAATACATGTAAAAAAAAAAAAAAAAAAGATACACTATGGTTGTGATAAAAAATAAATAAATAAATTAATTAATTAAAAAAGAAAGAAAGAAAAAAAAGAAAAAAAAACATAATTATAAAAAAAATAATAATAAAAAAAATAAAAATGGATTATATATAAAAAGGTGCATTTCATATTAAAAGAAAAAAATGGAAATAATCCAAATGGCCAACAATAGTAGAACTATCTATTTAGGCAGCAATGGTCAAAGCACACACTATGAATCTGCAATTATTATGTCCTCATTTTCATCACCAGTAACTGAAATAAAAGATGCACTTTAACACAGGAAGTAACATAGAAATTCACCAATAAGCACATTATTGATTGCAATGTCCTCCTTTTTATTAAATTATAAAACTGGCTGCTGTCAATATACACATTTTTGGAAATGCACTTTTATGCTTTTGTGGAGCACATGATTTTAAACAGACAAAATATTTCTATATTAACTTCTCAGTCTTCAAGCTATTTCGCACTGGTAGCCAAACTACCAAGTATAGATATTACAATATACAGTCAGAATTTAAGGAAAATATTACAAAGACAAATGCCTTAAAAAGATGATAGTGCAGAGAAAACCGTAGCTCTGAAACAGGTATAAAAATTTAGTCAAAATATTTTAGTCCATTATGGCTTTGCAAAGCTTCAAAGGAAGAAAATTGAAGACACTTCTCATCAAAGGCACTTAAAGAATTGTAATAAAATACTTCTTTGAATTTAGTTTTGAGTCCCACGGTATTTTTTATCTTTTTCACATTCTGTCTCTCATTGAAACAGTCCTGGAAGGCAGCTATTAATAAGGAAAAATAGTTATCATTTCTTAATATACAGGTTAAAAATACGCAAACAGAATTAATACAGCTTTTGGTCCGTGGAAGCAGGTAACAGTATCAGACTGTAGTATTTCTCTTAATTCTGAGCCCAAAGCCCTCAATTCCCCAGACTCAGTCCCCTGGGTTCCCCAGGAGGTGCCCCGCCATCGCCACAGTGCGCTGAAACTGGAAAGAGCCATCCTCCCTGGCTTGGTGGGAGTGCTGTTCCCGCGTAGCACACAGGAGGCAAAACCCCGGCATTATAATTCCGTGTCCCGATATCGGGAAGGCTGGCCGTAATAACCGCGCCTCGAGTGTTCTGACAGCTGCTGCCGGTATTCCTCCTCCTCAGCATCACTGCCATAGCTTCCTCTGGGATCCTGATAAAGTCTGGCAGGGCCTTTCTGTGGCTCGGGGGGCCTGGAACTAACAAAGAGAGATGGTTACGTGCAGTCCAAAGCTTGGGCCTCCCTGCCCGTCCATGCTGCGTGCAGTAGGCCACTGCCCACGACGGATGACTTACTTGAGTCACACTCTGCTGACAAACCAGGGCACTCCTGGCCCCACTCCAGGTTCACAGAGTGGTGGAAGTGAGGATAGGAATCACAGGTCAAGGCCGATACCCACTCAAGTAGCGAGTGGGGAAGACAGACACATACTCTGACCTAAGAACCCTCCAGCCTGATGAGGGTGCCTTCCTGAGATCACTGGTTAAAAGTTCACAAGCAGAGTGAGTTCTTCACCAGTTTTGGTCAAAATATACCAAGTCCCCTCTGTTGCCGGGGCCTCCTGGTCAGCTGTGCCACTATTTGATTGGTAAACAAGAATTGCCTCTACTTTTCTATAGCTGTAAAACTAGACTCCAGTTTCCAGTCAGAATGGCTGCAAGAAAATGTGATTTTGTTTCCTATTCTCGGATGCAAGGAATGATCCAGTGTAAAACCTCAACAGGAAGACACTGTGATAATCACTACTGCTTATGCAGCACTTTAAAAATAAGGCATCCTACCAACACCAGTCAATTGATGTTTCCTTTCCCTCAGACCACAGCTCACACACAGCCTGACTTGGCTAAGTGACGCAAAAGGATTACTGAACTTGTTGGCCAACAGCTAGAAAATATTAACGATGAAACAACTGGCATTTAAACCCCAGGAATTTTGCTTATGCACTATCCTAACACAATTTAACACATCTGTGGCTCCAACTGGATTTCCCCGGTGGCTCAGTAGTAAAGAATCCACCTGCAATGCAGAAGCTGCAAGAGATGTTGGTTTGATCCCTGGGTGGGGAAGATCCCCTGGAGGAGGGCATGGCAACCCACTCCAGTATCCTTGCCTGGAGAACTCCATGGACAGAAAAGACTAGTGGGCTACAGTCCATGTGGTCGCAAAGAGTCAGACATGACTGAGTGACTAAACGACAACAACACTGTGTTAGTGTTAGCACACAATCAACACTACCATAAAAGTTTGACTCTATGGCCTTTATAATTAAAGTTGACTGAATAAGTAAACAGTTTACCAGGAGGAAAAAAAAAACAACCCACAAACTGTTACTTTGAAATGTAGGTGAAAAAAAATTCTTAAGCATCAAAGTCCTACACAAGTCCCTTTTTTAGACCTATACCCTGAGAGGAGCACTTACCTTGTGTACTGGGGTGGGCCAGGATCCGGCTTGTGTGTTTTGATTGGAACTGCATAGATATCAGGATGCTTCTGAGCAATTTCAATCTGTGGAGATTACGGGGGTAAAAAAGAACAAGGGGGAAGGGATGAATGACTAGCCAGTCAGCTTGCTCATTTCCTGCTGGTTCCATTCTCCAATCCCATTTTAACCGAGAAGAGGAAAAACAGAAGCAAACCTCTAGTTTCCAGAGTTGTATGTGATGCCTACTGGTAAATGTCAAATAGGAAAAAATTTTAAAACTAATGAAAGTCTGCCACATGCTACAACATGGTTGAACCTTCAGGACACTATGCCAAGTGAAATGTATCAGCCACACAAAAGACAAATATTGTATGATTCCACTTCTGTGAGGCTCCTGAGCTGTCAAATTCATAGAGACAGAAAATAGAACAGTGGTTAAGGGGCTGGAGGGGGGGAAAATGAGGAATAATTAATATACACAGAGTTTTAGTTGGGGAGGATGACAAAATTCTAGAGACCAATGATAGAGATGGTTACACAAAAATGTGAATATACTAATGCCACCAAACACTTAAAAATGTTAAAGATGGTAAGTTCCATGTATATTTTACCACCAAAAGAAGCAAAAAAGAAAAAGAGCGTGGGTCATCTCTTGCCTTCTGGGACGGCCCACACTCTGCCCATAGTGTATGCTTCTCCCAGAGCCACTCTTGCCTTTTGAGACAGACTGCATTCTGTCTGTGGAATGTATCTCTCTAAATACATCCACTTTATTACTAATTACTTTGTCTCTCACTGAATTCTTTCTGCAGTAAGATGTAAAGAACCTAAGTTCCAATAAGTCCTGACACCAGGAACTAAGCTCCTCCCCCCACCCCCACGTTGGAGCACGGAATTATGTGGACCCTCCTGACTTCAATCAACTACAGCCTGGATTCTATCAACCTCTGTTTCAATTCCAAGCTGCAGTCTTCTCTGCTCAAGCCCCCTTATGAATATGCACAGAGCCTTAGTCTTAAACCTCCCCAAATTTGCAGTTCAGGGAGACTCTGCTTTGGGAAAAGATCCCACGTGTTCTCCTTACTTGCTGCAGGTAATAAATCCTTCTTTTCCCCTACCTTCCCCCTCTAAAAAAGAAAAAGGCCCAGAAGCACTGTAATTGTTGTGACAAATTTAAATGAAGAAAACTCCCATAACCACTGGGCTGAAACGCTCCAGAAACCTTTACTTAACAAATGTTACAGTGAAAAATAATTTTCAAGAGGCCACAGAATCTCTTGTCACGCTTTCCTATTCCAGAACCCAATATAAAGTTCTGAAGCACAAAGAGCAGAATCCTATTCACCTGCAATGTCAGGTTTTCTTGACTGGAAGAAAAAGGGATGTGCAAATAGCTGGCAATCTGAAAATGAGACACCCACAGGATGTGCCTTTGTATCACGCATGTCAACATACCCTTTCATGTGTGTGGCAGTGGCAAAAGGACTGTAAATCATCACACTGCGATGAAACTTCTTTAAAATCCTATTGCTGACGCACTAAAATGACCCAGTGATTGAAAACAATTACCCTTGCATTCTGTGCTTCTTGGAGCTCTTGCATTCTCTGTAACCTTGCCTTGTGATCCATCTTCTCAAATATTTTTACTTTGCCCAGGACAGACTTGGGAGCATTGTGCTGCTCCTCACTGCCCTCTCCCGTCTCCTCACTCTCTGGGGGAGGGACGGGAGTGGAGGGCTTCAGTATAGGCCGTCCAAAAGTGGGTTTCGCTGCAATAGGAGGAGGACAACCTTTGGTAGATGCCCCTGGAATTTCGTTACCAGCAGCGGCTGAGGGGTTTGACTTGTATTCATAAGATCTGGAGAAGTCAAAAGATTCTTCTCTGTTTTGGGTTTTGGCCTGCAGAGAGCAATGACATAGTTTTAACCTTGAGCTTTCAGTTTATTTTCAAATCTCTATTAGTGATTTAATACACTCCATTTCCTGATCAGTTTCCAAAGGTGGTCAACAAATTCCACTCCAACAAGGAATCAAATATGACAAGGTACATGGCCAAGATCTGGCATCCAGAGCCCTACCTCACTCCCTACAGAAGAGTATTAAGTGCTCGAGGAAACCAAGAGGGTGCTGGGGATGTGCTGGGAGGCCTGCAAGTGCTAGAGGTGGATCAGACCTAACTCTGTCCTAGAGGAGATTTGAATCTTAGAGAGGACCTCAGAACAAGTCAGGCTTCAGAATGGAAGAGTGGCTCCTGAGTTCATACCATGCTGAAGGGATGTGCCTTGGTCCACGTGGACGTGGGGATGTGGGTCCAGGGGACGTGGGTGGTCCCCAGAAGTCCACCCAGAAGTGAGGAGACTGGGGTGGGGAGCGGTGAGGCCACTTTGTCTTCATACTTCCATCCTAGGCCACTTGTAAACTTTCACTCATCTATATTATTAGGTCACCAATTACCTCTGAAAGCTCACAATGAATTATTACTTTCTTCTTATATAAAGCACTGAGTTAGGAAGAGAAACTTTACTGGGTTCCAAGGGAAAACATATAATTATAGCTGTGATTCAGAGAGGGGTGAAAAATCATATGACATGTATCCTCACATTGGTTCTTTTCTGGACAATGGTTTATTTAAAAAAATAAACCGTCCTCATAATGAGAGGCATTGTAAATAGTGGTGATTGTTTTCTTTAGCAAGTCATCAGGAAGGATTTTTTCAGGTGGATCTAAATCAGATTATGGGCAGAAAAATTTAATTGGATAGAAGAAGAAAAACAGATTCTATTGACAGGTGATTCTGGGCATGCAGTATTCATCCAACTTTTATTCTTTCTACATAAACAAACAAATAAAAAACAAAAGGAAACAAACACTAATAGTCCTAAAATTGTACCCTCTTCTAAAACTGCCTTTCCATTTTACTTTTTTTTGCCATTTTATAATTTTTTGGATTCACCCAAAAGATAGGCTCCAGCAGAGAACCCAGTTGGTCAAAACCATAATCCAGCACCACCTTATTGGGCATGCTCTGCCCTGGCTACGCGGGAGCTCCAGGTGAGCTCAATGTGTTTCTTCCTCCTTCCCATCCTGGGCTTCCCAGCCACGTACCTTGGGCGGCTCTGGCTTGAATGCCGGGGGCGGGCTATTGTCCCTAAGTTGATCTCTGCTAGTAGCCCTCCTCATCTGAGCTCGTGGCTCTGGGCTGGGTTTCCTTATGCTCTACAAGACATAAAGGTTCATGCACAACAAGAACATCCCAGCAGGAAGAAGAGAGCACTGGTCTTCTTTGCTGGAGTTCTTCGAACTTGGGGGAAGATATTAAGGTTCCTAACATGTGTAAGTTGAGCTACTGACCCAGTGCTTCTTTACTGAAAAGGCAGATACCTGGTATACTCTCCCATTAGCAAGTGCTTAAGGTATATTTTTCCCAAAACTAGCTCATCTCTCCCTTTACAGTAAGAAAACAAGAGGTTTTCATAAAGTTTTCTCACTAACAGCTGTTAATATTTTATTCTATTTTTTCTTTTGTTTTTGGCCATACCATGTGGCATGTATCATCCTAGTTTCCCACATCCCCTGAAGTGGAAGTGTGGAGTCTTAACTACCTGACCACCAGGGAATTCCCAGCTATTAACATTTTAAAGCATTAGCTCAACTGTATCTGCAGACATTCATGAGTTAATTTACTTTTTACAACTTGTCCGACAGTATATACTAATTTTTCTTTTTGGTCATGGTGAATTGTTCCTCTTCTCAACTTATATATTTGGTCCTTCTATATCATAAAGAATAAAATTCACTGAAACAACCTAAACTACTGAAGAGAAGTCCACAGAAATCCAAATATATGGAGGCTCTTGTCTGCAAAGGTCATTATCCCAGTGTTCTCTGAGGTGAAACCAACAACTGCTCTGGTCCTAACTTAGTGCCAGCAATGTGATTTCTAGAATCATAGAAGCAGTCTACTCACTGGCCAGTGGATGCATAGTACGTGAGATCAGACATATAAATAATCAATAAACTCAATTAAAAAACTGAAATACAAGAGAGAAGGAAACTGATGGGGAAACACTGAGGAGTTCTGGCAAGATTAGAAAGGTTAAAGGTAGGGTGGAGAAGAAAAAGCACAGACACCTAAGAGTACAGAGAGAGACCTAATCAAAGGTTACAAGTAAATACAACAATACTGTATTTAAAAGTAATGCCCCACTGGTAATTTGGACAGCTGGCCTCACATCATGACGTCATGCCCAGGGGCATCTGTGGGGCGAGTGCTGGTCACTCAACCTCTCCCAGCACTTGCCTCCTGCCCCACTCCCGTCTGGACCACATCCACAATCACACAGGCCTCAGCTTGGAACGGGAGGCTCCCTAGACATCAGCCACTCCAACCCTTAGGACACCTGCCTCAGCACCCTGAATAAGCTGTTGGCCAGAGCGACTCGACTGAAACACCAGAACCTCCTTTTGCTGCCCGGGCCTGCCTCGCCTCACCTCCTCACGCTGCACCGGCTCCGAGGAGCGGGTGATGGAAGACACCAGCGGCTCCTCGGCTGGCTCATCCAGCTCATTGTCAGTGTAGGCGCCTCCTTCCCCGTCGGTGTCTTCAAAGTCACTGATGAGGCGGCTGTCGCAACTCAGATAGTCCGCGCCCATGGCGGTTAAGTAGGACATGCGGTCTTCGGGATCATCATCCATCCCTTCCATCTAGAGGAATTTGTTTCGGAGGGTCAGTGGGATCTGACATGGCTCCTGGGAGTGAGGACTCAAGAAAATTCCCAAGGGCACAGCCAAGGGACTGAAACCTTGACTTGTTCGAGGAAAGGAAGTTCACCTTTATCTTCCTGAAATCACTTGGCTTTAAATGACTATGTAAATTTTTTGTGTAGAGACTTAAATTAGAAACCCTCCATCCTATCTCCCCCTGCCACCATCCATCAGGCTTCCTCACACTGTGCACTTTTCTTCTAGAATCTGGCTCCCCTCCAGTTTTTTCTGTTGAACTGGTCTCCCAGTGATAAGTGCATGCTGTCTGGAGCTGTATGCCTCTCCACTCACCCAAGAGATTCTCAAATCCTTCAAGGCAGAAGCTCCATCGTGCTCAGCCTGTTCTCACCACGGAGGCTAGCAAAGAGCCGCAGCGGGCATAAGCAGTTAGCACATGCGAGATACTCTGACTGAACATGCAGTTCCTAAAGGGCAGGGCTAGGACTCAACCATTAATTGATAACAGAGGCACTTACGCAACAAAATCGTACCTTGAATGTCTCACAAATGACCTCAAATCAGCTGGACCACAGAATACCAGCAACAAGGGCTCCTAGTACCACAGGGAATTCTATAATTTCTCTGCTTTCTCCCTGCAGTAGGGCTGTGGGAACTTCCTTCACAGATGAGAAGTGAGCCAAGGTTAGGAGCCTATACCAGATTCTAGCGCTCTCTCATCACCTACTCAAATCCCTAGAACTCATCCTCTGCCAACCTTCTTTCTAACACAACGATTCCAACTCCATTAGCTTTTCTTCCTTCTATTAAATTTTAACTATGTTCTCCACACCCTCAACCTAACCCCTCATCTCCACTCTGGGCGTCCTGGGCCCCTGGTAATAAGCTGCGGAGTTCAGCACAAAGTCTTGTAAGCTCTGATTAGTGTGCTTGGAACACAACACTAGTTACTACATTAAAAGCAAAAGGGAAGTGAATGTAGGGCTGCATATATTCCATTCTGCTTTTCTTGTAAAAGTCCCTTCGTTTTATTACTTTTCCAGAGAATTTACAAATTTTTGAGCAATTGAAGGGTATGTTGAGATCACTCGAAATGTGCATGGTTTTTACTACATTCACTACCCTCGTGAGAAAAAAATTCAGAACACAGACTCTCACCTCGCAGCAGAGCATCTGTCACATACCTTTCCTTCGGAGACCCAGACTGCTTCTCCTTGCTGATGCTGAATTGTGTCTTTCAAGCTGCCAAACCAGCTGTCGTTGGCTGAATTGAGGTTGATTGTAGCTACAGAAATGTAAACCAAAAGGTGTGCCTCAATTTCACGTTTATTAGAAATCTTATTGGACATAACTTACCCTAACTTGTCATATTTCACACACATACACACACACACACACACACATATATAAAAATAACTGATTCATGTTGTTGTATGGTAGAAACCAACTCAACACGGTAAAGCAATTTTCTTCCAATTAAAAAATAAATTAAAAAAATACATTTTTACAGAGTGTGCTTTCAGGGGCAACAACACCACAACTAAATAAAATATAAAAGTATTTAAAAAATCAATATATAGACGTGAACAGTAAAAGAAAAATATATACCAATGTACTGTTTATCTCCAATAAAAAGCTAAATGTATGTCATTTTGATAGGCTTAAACATTTCAGAATATAAATACAGACTAAGCAAACTCTACAGGTGTGTACTCATGGGACATACATTTTCTATTCTGAACAAAATGCATCCTGCATAACAGCACTTACTAAGACTGACCAAACACTTTTCTAAATACGTTACATGGTTTAGTTCATTTTATGCTTAAACAAACCTTGCAAAGTGGGTGTTGCCATCATCCCCATTCTGTAGATGAAAAACTGAGGCACAGCAGTGAAAGTAACTAGTCTAAGGCCTCACACCAAGCAAGTGGAAAAGCCTGGATGCAAACTCAGAAGTCTGCTTTTAGAGCTTGAGCCACTACATGACTCAGCCCATCTGAAACATGAATTTGGAGCACCAGGATAAAATACCAACCAGTAAAATACATGTGATCATTCTTCAGCAATACTTTGGACCTACAATGATCAAACTCCAGGTAAATCAGTACTTTTTAGAGCTACATCATCATGGCCTATTATTAAGGCCATTATGTGTCACCCAAAAGAAAACTGGATCTTGTTGCTGAAAGTTGTTAGGCAGCCTGCTCACCTATCCTGAAGTCTGCATACTTCTCTATAAATAACTCCAAAGAACCAGAAAGCAATTTTTGTAAGCAATTTTGCTTCAAGATTTTCTTCCCAGTAACATACAGCATTCTTTCATTTAAAAAGTCCCACATTGACCTTGGAAAATCCTGAACAAGCTGACAATTTCCTGGGCTATTAATTATTTATAGTATTAGAATAAACTGATACCTTGGACAACTAAAAGAAAATCAACCTTGCTTCCTTGGATTTTTGTACCCTTATCATGTGTGTGTGTTAGCTGCTTAGTCGTGTCCGACTCTTTGTGACCCCATGGACTGTGGCCTGCCAGACTCCTCTGTCCATGGAATTCTCCAGGCAAGAATACTGGAGTGGGTTCACTCCCAACCCAGGGATCAAACTTACATCTCCAGCATCTCCTACATTGGCAGGCGGGTTCTTTACCATTAGCGCCATCTGGGAAGCCTTGTCATAGTACCTTGTAAAGATGACTGTCCTCTTGGTAACAAAAGTGACATTGGGTACTCCAGGGACAAAATGAGTGATCTCCACTAAATCTATACAGAATTTTCAGCTACCTTTTTGAGCTTTATGCTGAAGTTGTCTAAGATGAGTACAGTTTGTATTTATCATAAGGAAAACCTAAAGTTAAAAGGGCCATTTGTAAAATGCAGAAAATATGTTCATGCCCCCTGATAAAATGAAACAAGCCAGAAGCCTCTTACTGAATTCACATTGGACTCTAGTGTATGGAAAAAAAGAAAACACAGTCATTTCTAACTGAGTTGGTAGTATTCAAATCATGCACTTTACCTCTCTTTAAGAGGTGAGAGCACAGCCATGATGCTGCCTTCCTTTCTCTTAGAATCAAGTTCCTTTGGTTTACTGTTGACTTTTGCTCTTTAGGTTTCTCAGATTCTTTGACTACAAGGCATCAGGTTACCTCCTGTCATTTCCAACCTCTGGACTAGACTCATGCTCCCTTGAATAGACTAAATACACCTCTCAAACTCCAGAAAGCGAAATACTAGAAAGAGCTTCCTCTTCAGGCTCCATCATGGCCGGGAGTCTGGGCTTCTGAGGGCATCCACTGCCAGCCCAGGCGCAGGTGCGCTCGGCGCTGCTCCTCCTTCCACAACCAAGGAGGCTGGGGAACACAGGAGCAACGGCGCAAGCCGACACGTGAGGCTGGAGGGTGAGCAGGGTCAGAAGTGACTGTCACGGTGTGAGGTTCTTCTCCAGGTGATAGAGCAGGTCCAAAATGGGTGGTAGTGATGGCTGCCATCTCTGAATACACTAAAAACTACTGAACTGCATGCTTAAATCGGGTGAATTATAGGGTACATAAATTAAATTTCAAAACTGCTATTCAGGGCTACCATTTAGAGGGACTCTAAATGGAGAAGCATCAACCAAGGTGCCCAGCCAGGGAGGGTGGCAACTTCCGTCTGCTTCCTGTGGTCCTCAGTGTTCCTACATGTCCTTGGGAAATCAAGAATTGCCTATTGCAGTTTGGATATTTTTAACTGGTACAAGATTCACTCCTCCCCACTAGGCTTTCTCCAACACTGCTGCTGCTGTTGCTGCTAAGTCGCTTCAGTCATGTCTGACTCTGTGTGACCCCATAGACAGCAGCCCACCAGGCTCCCCTGTCCCTGGGATTCTCCAGGCAAGAACACTGGAGTGCGTTGCCATTTCCTTCTCCAATGCATGGAAGTGAAAAGTGAAAGTGAAGTTGCTCAGTCGTGTCTGACTCTCAGTGACCCCATGGACAGCAGCCTACCAGGCTCCTCCGTCCAAGGGATTTTTCAGGCAAGATTACTGGAGTGGGGTGCCATTGCCTTCTCTGTCTCAAACACTGTATTATGGCAAAGAAAAAGGTTTATAATATGTAACAAAGATTTTGAAAAAGTATAAAATAGTATCACTAATGAATAGCATTTATTCACCATTTCCAAAGTCTTAGGACTGCATTATACATTAATTGCAAATTAATGTAATTAAAGTAATGATCTGTAAAATACAAATTTCACATCAATGAAATCTGGGAAACTGATAAAAGTGCTGGAACATCCTGTAGTACTTTAAAAATCCCACAATTTAACACAAAGGATGGCTCTGCATGGATCTCTAAGCCCACAATTCCATTCCTGTGGTCTTTAAATCACGAACTGAGTGCTTTAGCAAAACACGTTCAACAATTCCAAGAAAATATGTAATGTAAACTTCATGTTTTAAAAAATAAGTTTTGTAACATGTGCATGCAAAACGTATTATTCTACAGTAACTTTTTTAAAGTAATGGGGGAAGGTTGGGAAGCCTAACATTTTAATTTACATTGACAAGTTAACTTGCTTTTGGGCAAATCTCAGAATAAAGTTTCCCTTGTCATCTCTGCATAATTGAGAAGTACCTTGAATTTGCAAGAAGAGTCATTTTGCTTTAATTTTTTTAATTTTTATTTTTTAGGTAAAAGGTATTTCATTATATTGTAAAAATAGTAATGGATATACATGTTAAAATACAAAAGACAAAATAATTTATACCTTTCAAAAATGAGCAAGAAATAATATTATGTATAACAGTACAAAAAAAGTAAATCAACAAGAACTAGCAATGCTAGTTTTTCTTGTAACCAGCTACTATTAATATCACACTAAGCCCTGATTTGTCCTCCATCTGAAATACTAACAATTACAATTTATCAAGACACTGTTTACAGATCTTCAGTTCTCCTACTCAATCACTTTTATTACATAGTAATTTCAAGGAGAGTCATTTTAATACTGTCAAATTTAAATACTCATCTACGGAAAATGGGATTTTCTCGTTACTGTGCAACAGGAAACAAGAAAGATATTCATCGAGTTTGTTAATCCACCTGCAACATAAGCCTTGATTTTGAATTACTGTTCATCACAGTAGCTCTATTTTCCCCACTAATTAATTCATTGTGTGTGTGAAGGGATTGCTTGATGACTGTTGTCACCAATGTAAATCTGATTCTTGTTGCTTAGTTGTTGTTCTGTTAGTCGCTCAGTCATGTCCAACTCTTTGTGACCCCGTGGACTCTGCCAGGCTCCTCTGTTCATGTGATTTCCCAGGCAAGAATACTGGAGTATGTTGCCATTTCTTTCTCCAGGGGATCTCCCTGACCCAGGGATCAAACCTGCATCTCTTCCATTTCCTGCACCAGCAAGCAGATTCTTTACCACTAGCACCACCTGGGAAGCCCCTATTAATTCATTTAAATGCCATAAATGCCATTAATTAAAAATCATAAAAAAAAGAAAAAACCCTTGGATTCTGGCCTTGGTGTACACCATCAAGTCACAACCTGGCCAGGTTGAGACACAGGGCATATAAAGTGCTCAGTGGGGCCATCCACAGAATTTCAAGAGTTAAACTAAGCTGTCTGGAAAAGGCCGCAAAAGGCCATCCTTTTGTAAGTTACTCAGCACCCTGCTCCACCCATCCTGAAGACTGAGTCAGCAAATGAGGCTGACTCAAAGGCAGACCAAGGAAGTGGCCTCCCTCAGCCTGGCTCTCCCTCTACAGCTCATTGTTTCCCCGCCTGCTATCTCAGATCCTCACACGAATCCCAAATTCAACTCTCGGAGGGAAGCCCCTAGCCATTCAATGGACTTACACAAAGGTAAGGAGGTGGGGGAAATGAAGTGGGCGTAGATTTAACATGCATCACAATCACACGGACCTCAAGTTCAATGAATTATCTGTTAAACGGAGGAATGGCAACATAAGACCCCATTCATTAGGATAATACGCCTGTGCTGTGAAGTATATACAATATTGGACACACAGTCAGAGACTCCACAGTGTTAGTCTGGGCTCAGCCACACACTAATGTGTGACCATGCAGAAATCACCTGGCCTTTCCTATGGCCTAATAAGACAGCACCCGTGAAAGGCTGTTAGCTATTGCTGTAATAAAAACAGTGATGATAATAATAATTCCAGTAGTAGCAGTAAAACAAAGGAAAGATCATATATGAACATACCAAAAGCACAAGCTTAATCTTGACTCTACAGTCACAAAAATCCAGTTTATGAAGCACCACTTCCTTCTCTGCGTTTGGTTAGATGACCTCTCAGTTAGAGCACTTCACCATAGTGGTACGTAGTGCATCTCACTCTTTAATAAGAAAAGCCAGTAACAATAAAACAAGGGTCTAATGGAGACATTCATTCACACTCACCCCTTCCCTTCTCTTCCCTTCCCAGTGTCAGATAAGTTAAAAGTGGCACAGGGTGATGATGACTGGTGCTGAGCTCAGCTTAGTCACCAAGTTGTGTCCGACTCTTGCATCCCAAGGACTGTAGCCCACTAGGCTTCCCTGTCGATGAGATTCTCCAGGCAAGAATATTGGAGTGGGTTGCCATTTCCTTCTCCAGGGGATCTTCCCGACCCAGGGATTGAACCCAGGTCTCCTGCATTGCAGGCAGATTCTTTCCCAACTGAGCTATAAGGGAAGTCTGAATTCACAGAGCTACCATTATCCTAAGGATATTAATTATATCCACATAGTTGCTACATGTGGCTTCCATAAAACTGCATGACCAAAAACTTCATGCAACCCTTTTAAACCCTTAATTATACCACATTCACAGTACTAGTCGTATTTTTAGGTAGTGCACACATTCAGTTTCTAAAAAGGTCACATTCTTAAATCATTTTACTTTCATGAATAATAGCAGCAGTAGGTCTTCATTTCAGGAATTTTAAAAAATATCCTATTATGGAAAACTTTAGACATACAAAAGTGGAGAGAAGAGTATACATCATGAATGCATCACCCAGCGTCAACAACTATCAACTCTTGGCCAGTCTGGTCTATAGCCACACTAACTCTCCTCACTGAAGATTATTTAAGCAAATCCAAGATATGATATTAGGTCATCCATACATACTCTTATTTACCATACATGCCTAAAAATGAGAACTTCTAAAAAAAAACCTAACATAATCACAGTATCATTTTCACCTTAAACACAGGAGTAATAAATTCTTAATATCAGCTAATATCCAGAATATTCAAGGCTATCTCAGAGACATTTTAAAATAATGAAACCAAGTTCCTATCACCTTGTAAGTCAGCGTATGCATGGATAGTAAGAAGAGAAGAATGACACAGCCCATAACAGATATGGGTATTCGGTGCTATGCCAGGCTTAATCACTAGGCTTGTAGTCCCACCCCAAAAATCTGAACCTCAACAAAATGACCAGGTATTGTGTATTATGGATCTTTATGATCATGTTCAAATAGTCAAACTTACAAAGTTAAATATACAAACACCATGAGTCTAGTATACTCACTTTATAGGATTAGTTCCTTTTTGAGGAGTCATGAACAGAATTTCAGATAACTATTTTCCATTCAGATTATTTTCCTATTCCTTCCATCCTCCAGTTCCTCATTCCTTACTTTCAGGCAAAGAGTACATTTTACATTTCACTTACCTGTGAAAAGATGTGCACAAGTTTTTTTAAGCTTGTTGGCTTGATCAAATAACTTCCGAGAACTTTTGTTGGATGATGGATTCAACCTCTGTCTCATAGTTTTGACACCTTGCCTAGAGTCTGGGTTGAAAAAGATCACAATCGGGAACCACTGAGTATAGTTCAACAGGTCCACAGCCTTAGGAGTTACATCCAGGAGTGCGTGCTTGTCCTGTTAGAAATGGGGGAAAAGGTGACGTAAATGGATAAAAGCCAAATAGCATCAAAGAGTTTGTATTAATAAGTAAAGGTCGCTTCAGATAAAATGTGCCCATGTAAATCACAAAGCTGAAAATGCTTCCCTTCACATTAGGTCCACTTTAATATTATCAATCTATGAGATATTCTGAGAAAATCAATTAACAAGTTTTTGGTATAATGCTCAGAACTCTGAGAGAATCAATACATTGGTTCACAGAACATCAACTGATTGTCATACAATGAAACAGCTTACATTTATATTCAGCTTACTAACATGGAATAATTATTAAAATACAGACTCTATTCTTAAAAAGACTGCAGCAAACCATGACCCTATTCTTTCCAACAGCGTGGCCTTCAGGTGACTTTTCTTACCTGTTCAATAATCTGTCTCACAGTATTTAACCGCACCACCCCGGTGGATTTCTCAGATCCTGCGTCTCTCGGTTCTGTTTCTGCAAAGGAAAAAAAAAAAGCAGGGAGGGGGGGAATGAATAAACTTTTAGAAACCAATGACAACAAAGTACCGCCCTCCTAGCACCAACTAGGACAGGAAAGCTGACATTCATTGTCTCCTAATAAGAGGCAACAGGAAGGACCAACACTACCTGTTTCACCAAAATCTAACCAAGGGAAAGAGACCAGGCCAACAGGGAGCGTCCGATGAGACAAATGGCTTGGACTGTTCAAAATATTGTGCCACAAAATAATTTAGAAAAAGGAGATCAGAAAGATACAAAAATCAAAAGTACTGTATTCTGAACTTAAAAAAGAAAAAATAATTTACCTTGAAAGGCATAATTGGGATAATGGATAAAATTTGAAAAAGGGACTATATACTAAATAACATTATTGTATCCGTGTTAAATTTCCTGGTTGTGATAACAGTATTATGGATGTACAGGAAGAGAATTAAGAGATTCACAGAGGTAGGAAGTGTTATGATGCCCACAACTTAAACTTTTAAATACGTCAGCAGAAACTATAAAAAGTGTGTGTGTGTGTATGTGTGTGTCTATGGGGGAAGAATATAGATGGCACATGTTACCTGGTGACAAGTGATTCCAGGTGAAGGGTATGTGGGTGTTCACTATTTTTTCTGCAGGTTAGAGATTTTCCTAAATAAAAGTTGAGGGAGGAAAAAGTATCACTGACAGACTTACTGGCGGTTTGGAACAGGTCAGGCAAGTCACTTGCCAACTTCTCCAGGGCTATATCTGCTATGGGGCCGAATAAGACGACAGGTCTCTTGAAACCCGCTGAAATGAGAAAAGGAAAAGCCATGAAATTAGGTGTAAAATAAGCTAGAAGGATATATTTTACAAAATGAGGAATATGGCCAATATTTTATAATAACTACAAATGAAGTATAATCTTTAAAAACTGTACACCTGTGATTTTATACATATTATATAGCAACTGTACTTCAGTTAAAAAAGAAAAGCCATGAAGACACCTCCAAGTCTTTAGCTGTTAAGAAACAAATGTATTTTACAGAGTATTGATAACAAAATAGTGGACATCCCAGGTGGTGCTCGTGGTAACAAATCTACCTGCCAATGCAGGAGACGCATGAGACCTGAATTTGATCCCTGGGTTGGGAAGATCCCCTGGAGAAAGAAATGGCAACTCATTCCAGTATTCTTGACCAGGGAATACCATGGACAGAGGAGCCTGGCAGGATACAGTTCATGGGGCCACAAAGACTCAGACATGACGGAACAACTGAGCACACACACTGATAACACAACTAAATAAAAGAAACTGTGTGTTCTTCCATCTCCAATTCAGCCCAGCTCTTTTCTGAAGAATAAAAGCTCTCTCTTTTATTATAATTCATTCCCTTCACTTTTACTCAAGATAAACTTTGCTCTATAGAATATATAAAAACTTCTGAATGGTAGTATTAAAATAAAAAATAACCAAGGTTGTAGAAATACAAGTTTGCACAGTTCAGTTTTTTGTTAAGTTTTATTTCGTGCTGAAATATGATTCCAACTGTCAGCTCACTTCGCCTGAGAGATATAGATAAATTGGAACATGACCATTAAAGTTTAAAAATGAAGAAAAACAGGCTCTGAGCCCAGTCAGATCATTTCCTGGCCCACAAGGATCCCTCACCTTCTCGAAGCAGAACCCTCTCGTAGGCTGGGAACTTGGTGCTGACCGTCACGGCGGCGGTCAGGTCCTCCCGACTCTTCCGAAGGTTCTTCTTCACACCTGATCTCTGGCCGCGCATCCTCCAGAAGTCTGCCCTGTCCCCAGTGGTGTCTCTCTGGGCATTCTGAACGCTGGCCATTTGTTCCGCTCTGAGAGAAGAAGCCAGGGGAAGTAAGTTCTGAAGTCAGGAAATGCGCAAATGTGAGCGTCACTAACTAAATCCAGTCACTATCACTTATGGACTTGGATCAGAGAAGATGCAGCCTGACAATAAGCAATGCCAGGGGTGAGAAACACAGGTGCTTTCTCATCTGGATGGAGGCAGAGAAAAGCTGGGTGCACATGAAATCTACCAGGAGTAGTTCAGTAATAAACACACCAACATGGCTTGTTCTGCTTAGGCTGGTGTACAGACATGCCCTGTCTTACTCTACTTTGCTTTATCAGACTCAACAGACCCTGCATCTTTTTTTTTTTACAAATTATAAAGATACGTGGCAACTCTGCATTAAGTCTATTGGTGCCATTTTCCCAGCAGCATCCACTGACTTTGTGCCTCTGTGTCACAGATTCTCTCAAAATTTCAAACTCTCCACCAGCAAAAAACACTATGAATCACTGAAGGTTCAGATGATGGTTAGCATTTTGGGGGCACTAAAATATTTTTAATTAGGGTATGTACCTTGCTTTTTTAGACATAATGCTAGTGCACAATTAATAGACTTAACAGTATAATATAAACATAACTCCTATATGCACTGGGAAACCAAAAAATTTGTGTGCCTTGCTTCATTACAGTATTTGTTTCATTGTGGTGGTCTGGAACCAAACTCACCATTTCTCCCAGGTCTCTTCATACATGAGAAGCGGATGATGGAAGAGGTCGTGATGACAAAGGACAAAGTCATATGGGGCTTCCTTTATGTGGCGGTGTTGTTTATGTGTAGGGGGGATTCTGAGGGGGTTGTGTGGAATCATGTAGTCTCAGATACCTGCTTTTGTTGGGGATTAAGCCTTTCTCCAGTTCGTTTCCGATCCTCACGGCCAGCCAGTGGCCCAGTTTGCCATCGTAGAGTGTATCTACCACACGGAAGACCTCCCCTCTGGTGAAGGCCAGGCTCTGTGGAGTTTCCTTCTCACATTCAAAGTGACTTCTTATAAAAAATGAATCCCCTCTGCCACAAGCCAGTATATCTCTATACACTGAAAGACAAAAGCCTCGTTTCATGCGGTGCTCAGCCTGGCCAGGGGTCTTTCCTGGAGGGGTTATCAGGTTCTCTGAGCTCTGATCACCCTCTTTACCTTCCATGCATTTAGTGAACTCAGCACACAGGCCCCATGGTAACCACAGCCCAAACAGGGAGAAGGACAAGTAACTAAGTTCATGAGTTCTGCTGTGATGGTTAGTTTTCTGTATCAACTTGACTGGGCCGTGCGATGCACAGACATTTGGTCAAACATTATTCTGACTGTGTCTGTTGGGGATGTTTCTGGATGAGTTCACATTAACACGTAGACTGAGGAAAGCAGACTGCCCTCCCTCATGTGGGAGGCTTCAGCTAGTCTGTTGAACGTTTGAACAGAACAGAAAGGTAAATCCTTCTCTGAGTAAGAGATAATGAATTCGTTTTGCTTTCAAAGTGTGACATCAGCTTTTTTTCTGCTTTCAGACTCAGATACACTAGCTCTTCCTGGATCTTGAGCCAGTCCACCTTTGGACAAGTGCACAATCAGCTCTCTTGGTTCTCAAGCCTTTGGACTTGGACTGGAAGTAAACCATCCGCTCTCTTGGAGTCTCCACCTCACCAACTCACCCTGCAGATTTTGGGACTTGCCGGGTACCGTAACCATGCGAGCCAATTCCTCATAATAAGCAGCTCTCTTTCTCTCTGTGCCATTTTGTCTGGAGAACCCTGACTAATACAGGTGCCAATCAACCCTCTAAAGCAGACAAGAAGATTCTATTAACTTCCATTTTACAAATGACAACAAGACCTGGAAAGGTGAATCAACTTGTCAGACTGACAAGGGTTAATATGAGGGCTGAACTGCAGGTGTGGCCTCTGCATCTGTCATATGGAAAACCTCAATCATAATTTCAGGCAGTAATTAAGGATGGATTCAGAAAGGCAGTTTTATTCCAAAATCACACAACTAGTAAAGTTCTTTCAGTGGCTGCATAGAAATCATTTCGTAGGAAGTTAAATGCCACCCAAATTCTTTCCAAATACCTACGACCTGGATATAGGTCAATTTTTTAACACTTGGATTTGCCTATTCTGGTCCCAAGCTACCTCCCTCCCCTACCGCCCACTGAACTCAAAACCAAACCTGCTCACCATCAGCTCGGCTCTGAGCTAAAATGGTCACTGTTTCACCTTTGGGGATTTCTAACAGGTAGAGAACAGCATCCTCCCGAACGAGTCCTCTGAAATCCTGTGTGTTCACCTGATGGAGGAGGGGGAACCAGAAAAAAACAAAGCAAGAGAGCAGAAGAAGTTGTTACTTAAAAGGTGCCACCTGAGCTTCTGACCTGTTTCCATCAGGGCCTGCCTATGTAAAGAAGCATCGGTCAGGGCCCCACAAGTAAAGAAGTTCTTGGTGCCCTCCTGAGGCTCGCCAAGCACCCAGCCTGGACTGTGGGCACCACCACGCCCTCCTGCTCCCCACACTGCCCGCCACCCCTTAGGAATGTGTCATTCCACCAAAGACTCGTCACTGGGTCGGGTGAGAATTTCTAGGAGTGTGTGTCTCCCTCTCTTCTTTGAGTCTCCTGCACGGGTGGCCAGGGAGGTAATGTACAATTACGAATCCAATAACTAGAATTCAATAGGGAGTGGTGAGGTCTATGGCGAATGAGCATGCTGGCTCAGCTTAAGGCATTGCTACTTTTTAAATTAGTTCAAATAGAAGTCTGCAAATAAGGATTCTGCCCAAATCTACCTTTTTCTTATAGCTTCTATCATCTGAAATTGAAGAGCATTAATTTTACATGGTAGACAATCAACCTAATGTATAGGCTTTTATATTTAAGCTTCTGCCATATAATGGGTAAAAAGCCCATGTTTATCCACCACTGATCAAGTAGGGTACACTGTAAATAGCTTTTGGAAGACAAGTTAGAAAGAGTAAAACTCAAAAATGGTACAAAGAAAAAGACATTTTGACATCTTTGCTCTGTACCTTGAAAACCATTTGAAAACAGAAATACACATAAGTGAAATGCAAAAATGATTTTAAAGTACCTTATGTTTTAAAAAGGTATTACAGAAGTGAAGATCTAGAATTTCTCTGAAATATTTTCTTCAATCATTGAAGACTTGTAGAATCTTTTAATCAAAGAGTAATGCCTTACTACTGAGCCTAATTTAATTAAGGTTGGAATTTACAATGAAGTGAAAACAGGCATATTATTTTTCATGGAAGTTTTCAATGTGGGGAGATGAACTGAACTAGCCCTTTTTGAAATGTAGGTAGACACAGGGACTTGGAGTTGTCACTAACTAGGCTCTCTTTGGGAATGTTTATCTTATCACATTCTGCGTCATGCTTGCGTTGTAACTACCCTGGAGACAGCTTGGCTGTGTCTAAACTGCATTACTGCTTTGTAAAATATAACTGTATAAATACAAGAACAGAATGTTGAAAAGAAAAAAAAAAGTGAAACTTGGCATGAGACTAAAGCTATACTTGGTACTTTAAAAATGGTGATTTAGTGCTCTCTTCGGCAGCACATATACTAAAATTGGAACGATACAGAGAAGATTAGCATGGCCCCTGCGAAGGATGATATGCAAATTCATGAAGCGTTCCATATTTTTAGAGAAGAGTGCATCTACCTAGTTACTTCCTCAAGTTTAAATATGTATAGTAAATTAAAATAAAAGTTTTCTATGTAAAATAAATAAATAAATAAAAACGGTGATTTACTAAACCAATCATGTTAACTTTTCCTTTGACACAATATTTAGCATTTAAGATAGCTCACTTCCATCTCTTGGTCTCTGAATTAAGGATATTGGACCTTTGGTATTGAATCCTTTCTTGCGTGCTATCTGCGGACCTACGTTTGTGTCTATATATGGCTGTGTATACGTCTTTATATGCACTGCACATGCTTGCATTTGTTTATTTAAATAAAGCAAGGCCACAGGGCGTGGGGGGAAGACCTTGTCCACCTCTACAAACTGAGAATGACTTTCCATCAAGCCAAACACTATAATGGTCGAAATTAAAGCATACATGGTAGTTAAAATCCACACAGTTAATAATCAAACTGAGGAGGTTTTTTGTTTCTGTCTTTCCTCTTCTCTAATAGTTTCTGAAAATGAAATGACAATCATACCAGGTAACCCAAGCACTAAAGCATGTGTTATTTCAGTTATTTACACAGCACATAATTCGCCACCCAACACACTCATGTTTTCATTCCACATGTCAAGTTGTCACCTTTACAAAAGAAAGAGCTGCACTTAAAAACCCACAACAAAAGAAAGTGCTTAAAAAAAAAAAAAAAGAAGAAAGTGCTTGGTATATGTGTATCGGACCCTGGTATGCTCAACCTGACGATGAAAAGAAGTGCTGAGACAAACTAAAGGAAAAAAAAGGCCAAGACAGCACTTTGGTTAGGTTGTACAGCCCTCTCCAATAAATATTCTCCTTCGTTATCTATTTAATAGTCTACAGGGCCCAGCTGTGTCTGTTGTGAGCCTGAAGAGGACTCTGTGTCAGCTACACTAAGACTGTGTCACAACCTCTCTGCCTCAGTAGGCGAGCTCAAGGTTTTTCACCTCTTTGCAGAACGCAGGGCTCCTTTCGTAGTCAACAGAAAATTTATTCACGCCTAAGAATAAAGACCATCTACTGTGTGACCTCCCCATGAGACTACTGCAAAAGAGGTGGGTCCCCACAGTTTCTTCCCTGTCGCCAGGGTGATAACAGGAAATAAGATACTTTTTAAAATAGCAAACATTGAGTATCATAATTTTTACCCATGGAAGTGACTCTCTCTGTCTTTAACTTAGAGATAGGTCTGTCAAGCCTCTAAATGAATTTACTTTTTTTTTCCAATTCGGAAAGTCTTTCTCCACGCCACCCTATTCCCACCCCCGGGGTAGGAAAATATTTTACCCTTGAACCTTTAGGAGCAAAAGCTTTCAAACTCCTAACTTCCTGTGGCCCCACATCATTTAGGACACATGCTTCTTCTTTGGTATCAGCCCAAGAGTAAACTGGTATGAGCTGGCACTCGAATGGGACTCTTATCGGTAGCACTTGGCAAGCAGTGTTTCCGAGGCTCATGTGGTACCCTGAGGTTCACCCAGGTACACTGTCTTCCAGCATCCTGGCTAGAGCCAAAGAGGGTCGAGAATGTCATTGGAAAGCTTCAGAGCCCCTCGTGGTCAAGCTCTGCCCTTCATCTGCTCCGGAAACGAAATCTCAACTACCACCATGAGGTCACAGGCCAGGAAGGAAAAGGACCACTTCTTTCTGGGCTCTGCTGCCTGCTGCCTTGGGAATTCTGCTTTCCTCCCCCTGTCCTTTGAGGTTAGATGCTCTTCTTACCAGATCCCCTAGGAACTCATGATAAGAAAATCAAGTTTACAGAAGCAGAAATCCCAGTGAAGACAACTCAGGAGCATTCTATGTTTTTATAATCACAAGGTACTCAGCATGCTTGAAGTTAATGCTCAAGTGAACAGAAAACACATGGTATGTTTTTCATAAAATGTCAAAGCAGGAATTGCTTATCAGTTGTTTTTAAACCAACAGATTATACAAACACATACACAGTAGCTGTAAAAGTATCAATATTTGATTAACCAGGTATTCCCCTTCCAGAACAATATTAGATGTAAGTGACAAAGAGTGACAGCAACTTGTTATTTTTCACTGGGAAAAAGAAGGGACTCTGACCCTCCTACTCTGTGCTAACAACTCTGCCGAATTCCGTGTGAGTATCATCTGTTCTAATTTCTCCAGGATCCCTGCGAGGCAGGTATGCTTATCCACATTGAACAGATACAGAAACCTGAGTCTCAGAGCTGGAGGCAGGGCCACAAACTAACATGAAGCTGGGACAGGATTCAAATCAGACGATCTGATGGCAACACGGACCTTTGTTCAGTTACAGCACACGGCCTGAAGAGTGATAACCAGGCAGGAGAATCGGCTAAAAACCATGAGCAAGATTTCCACCTAGGCCTTTAGTTAAAGTCTCAATTGTTTTGTGAATCAAACTAATAAAAGTCTTTGTGAGGGTTCTGAACACTATAAATTCCCACAGACATAAGGATGAGTTTTGGGTTCCAGGATTGAAGAAACAGGGTCCACTGGAAAGAAACAGAGACCTGATACTCTGCAGCAACAAACCCGCAGCTGGTCTATTTTCACCAGCGGGACCACTTCTTCATCCTTTATGTAAGACCCTCCAGGAAACCCTACTCTTTCCCAGTAACACCTACAAACAGGGCTGGGATCTCATACCTTCAGAATCTGGTCCCCTTCTTGAAGACCTTCTTGCTCCGCGGAGGTACCCTCTTGAATGCCAGCCACAAATATCCCGACATCATTGCCACCAGCCAGCCGGAGGCCCACACTGTCTCCCTTCTTGAACCTCACCATTTTGGTATTGGGGCTGCAATGGGTACAGTTTCAGTAAAGAAAGATGGGAGGTTTTCTTATTTTTTTTTTTTTGGTAAAGGAGAACCAACATTAGCAGTGAGAGACTTAATTTCTTCTACCTATAGAGTGATTTACCCTTTATAAACTCTCTTTTGCCTTTCTTATATAATCTATAATTTTATCTTCCTTGGGGCTGTGAGATGACTATCAGGAGGCCACTTTACCAGTAAAGAAAAGAAACAGAGAGAATGTCTAAGTAAACTCATTCAAGATAAAAAGCAAATAAACGGCAGGGTTGGGGTAAAACTTCAAGGCCATCTGATTCCGACTTCAGGATTCTTCCAAAGAAAATCCTGCTGATCCCACAGGGCTCCTGTCAAATGGAGACCGCCTGAGTCCAGGGGAGCAGGATCCTAACCCACGGAACCAGGGGTTCTCACTGTCCAGTGAAGAGCCCTGCATCACTTCCCCCCTCCCTCCACACACCAGGGCCAGCTATCACTACAGTCCCGAGAGGCACCAGAGTTAAGCAATTCTTCACCCATCTGGGCATTCTTGATCTGGCAAACTCAGCTATTCAGAATAACATCTGGGACACTAGCCAGCTAAGCAGACAAGCAGGCAAAGTTAACACTCACTTATTTCCACATTTTACTCTTCCTACGAATGATTTCTCTTTCTTAAAAACACTAGCAATAGAGATGGGTTAAAGGCAGCTGATTATAAACAAAATCATCACCATTTAATGGTGTTTAAGAACACCATTTTTCCAGATTTCAGTTACGTTGACAGAGCTGTGTGGAGCAAGAAAGGGGAACAGGAAGAGATGCCTACCCATATATTGCTAAATCTTCAGGACTTGGACGAAGAACAGCTCTTGGGGCTGGTTTTGGTGGAGGAACTGTGGATTAAAAAAATCACTAGTTATAAAATTTTTAAAAAAAATATCATTAGCAACCAGGACAAACAGGTTTTGTCTCTAAATATGAAGATCAAAAAATCCACAAAAAATTCAAGTCTGTTCCTTATGCTACATATACATCATCACATCAAATAAGAAAAATAAGTCTTAAAAGTTAGATTTTGAAGCATTAGCAGATGTCAGTAGTTTCTCAAAAACAAGTGAGAAGGAAAATGAAACTTACAAATGCAAGGTGCATAATCACATTTACAAAGTGGTAGCATTTTTAAATAATTTAAAAATCATGTAATAATGCTGTTATTTCCATGGATAGATATTTATGAGTTTAAATTATGATGATAATTTTATTGTGGTGGGGGGTAGGGGATGGAGTTGAGATCAGAAATGGGACATAGGGGCTTCCCTGGTGGTTCAGTGGTAAAGAATCCATCTGCCAATACAGGAGACACAGGTTCCGTCCCTGATCCGAGAAGAGCCCACATGCCACGGATCAACTAAGCCCGTGTGCCACAAGTACTGAGCCTGTGCTCCAGAGCCTGGAGCCACAACTACCAAGTCCATGTGCCTTAGAGTCTGTGCTCTGCATAAGAGAAGCTGCTTCAACGAGAAGCCACGCACTGCAACAAGAGAAAAGCCCTCGCAGCAACAAAGACCCAGCACAGCCAAAAATACATACATACAATTATTTCTGAAATAAAGAAATGGGACATAAAAGGACTTTAATCCCATTTGACAAAATGCGACTGTGTGACATAATTAAGAGGCATGTATCTTGTCTCTGCACCACCCCCAGGTCCTGACACAGAGATCCTAAGACCCCTATTAATTTCTGGAGTGAAAGGGGTACCAGGAGCATCTTTTGCTCTAATGTTTGGTCTTTAACCCTAATTTCTGACACAGAGTTCCTACATCCTTTGGAATTTGCTGGGTGATAGGAGCATCCTTTGTTCTAAAGAGATGACTCCTAGTAGGCTTCTGGACAGCCTCAAGGTGGGGCTGGTCACTAGGAGGAGGAAGTCATGCTCATGACAAAGCCTCCAAAAACTAAGGGATTCAGAACACTTCAGGATGGATGAAATCATTGAGATGCTGGTAGAGTGACCTGCCCAGTGAGGGCATGAGACCTCTCCACCCTCTCCCCATAATGTGCCCTAGGCATCTCTTCCATTTGGCTGTATCCTTTATTTTTAAAAGTATCAATATTTGATTAACCAGGTATTCCCCTTCCTGAACAATTTTAAATGTAAGTGACACAGAGTGGCAGCAACTTGATCGGTAATAGTAAATACAGTGCTTTCCAGAGTTCTGTGAGCTATTCTAGCAAATTATCAAACTTGAAGAGGGGGTCATGGGACCTCTCAGTTTAGAGCTGGTTGGTTAGAAGTAAAGGTGGCAACCCAAGGCTTGTGACTGGTGTCTGTGGTGGGGGCATCTTGTGAGACGGAGTCCTTAACCAGCAGGCTTTGCAGGAATTCAGTAGTCAGTGTCAGCACTGAACTCAATTGCAGGACACCAGGTTGGTGTCTGGAGAACTGATAGTTGGGCGGAAGACAAAACCCATGCAGTTGATGTCAGAAGTGTTGTAAACAGAAAATAGTTCAGGTTGGGGTCAGGGATGGGAGACAAAAGGACCATGACTAATGAAATATAACAGAAGGTGACCAACCTGTTGGTGCATACAAAAGGCAAATTCTTTTTTTTTTTTTTTTTTAGTATTAAATGAGTTAGGAGTGCCTCTTCTATACATAAGAATGATCTTAAATATTTTTTTTCTCTCCTACCAGCCACCCTCTGGAATTACCAAGCACACACACCCGAACACGACTGTGTAAAATGAGCCTCACCTGGGGCTTCCTCTTGGTATCTGGGTTCCTTGCTGGGCTCCGTGCTGTCCGCAGCCGCCATATCCCCAGTGGACTTGAAGGGAGTGGGTGTGGCGCCCATCCTGGACCACCTGCTCCGCGTGTCCTCTCTTGAACTTAAGCACACAGAATGTTCATGTTTCACCACGTGACAGATCTGCCAACAGGTATGCGTATACACACACAGGGACATGTGCACGGGAAAATATGGATCAGCTTACCTTGGTCTCTCCTTCAGCTTTTCATTTGAGGAATGGTAATCATAATCAGAATACTGCTGCCGTCTCTCCTCTGGAGAAAACGATCGGTTGGACTCTATTTCTGAGATATCTGGTTTCAAAAATAAGAAAAGTCTTTTTAATGAAACATTTAAGACCTGTGCCAGAAATTATTCAATTCTCTGAGCAAGGAAACATGGGAAATGGAAGAGACGGCAGGCAGTAAATGTGCTATTAAATAGTCTTGATAGTCTTCCCTTGGGGGGAAAAAAAAATCTGATAGCTTGAAAGGAAAGACATTAATTAACAAAGAGGAATCCAAATTCAGAATTTTATGTTCCTCATTTATTATCCTTTCCATCAAAGCTGCCACTGAAGAGTCAAAAGCCAATGATGGGGATTTTATAGATGGAGAGATACACAAAATCATTTTTACCATAGAACAATGCTTCTCAAACTTAAATGTGCATACATGTCACCTGGGATTGTTCTGGGTAGGGCCTGAGATTGTGCAATTCTATCAAGCTCCTGTATGACACAATGCTATTAGTGGATTGAGGATGACACTTGGAAAAACGAGGTAAACTGCAAGCTCCTAACAAGTTGGGATTATTTCTCATGCTCTCCTTGTTCTCCTGCACTCCAAGCAGTAACCACTTGATTAAACATTTTATATAATAGAAATTAAACTAAGTTTTAAGGTTTTATGAAGTAATTCTTTTAAAAAGCAAGTCCATTTCTAAACTTAAGCACTTAATATTTTCTAAACTTTTCTGTACAAAGGCAATACTAGATGGTTACGTAGGAAATGCCATGCCTAGTTATTTTTATGGGTAATTTTTACATGGTTAAAATGTTACCCTATGTGTTGTATATCAACTATTTCTCAATTTAGGAAGAAAAAGAATCATAATAAAGACATACCTAAGAGCCAAAAAAAGAAAAAACGAAAGAATAAAGAGCAGGATATTCAAGACCAATTTGAAGGACATGAAGTTGGACTTGTTTGTGGAAATAAAGACTAAACCAACTAAATAAATTATGTTATCCTATGCTATTCATCTTCAAGTTAAAACTAAAAGAAATGATTACATCTTCATACAAGAGGTGACACAAATTCCAAACCAATGAATACTGTAATATTCAGTCGTTCTGATTCCTTATTATAGTGTCTACCAGTTTTAGCTATCCTCCATATTGTCTTCTCTTTGTTGGAAATATTAAGAGCCACTTCAAAAATATCACGTAAGAAAGCCCAAGAATGAGTAATTTACAATGTATGTGGTTAGGTATTTTTTTTGTCTTTTTAAAATATTTATTCATTTGACTGCACAGGGTCTTAGATGTGGCACACAGGATCCTCAACTGCTGCACGCTGGATCTTAGCTGTCTGATCAGGGCTTGAACTCAGACGCCCTGCCTTGGGAGGGCAGAGTCTTAACCACTAGACTGCCAGGGAAGTCCTGTGGTTAGTTCTCTGAGCCACTCCTACATACATTTGTTTACTCACAAGTTTTGTATTCAATGGCTTTAATCAAGAGTCCACTGGGATTCTTAAGTGCACCAGAATTCCATACTGGAATCCTAATTTCAATAGACCCTTTAATAAGAAAATAACAACCTAACTTGGAATTTAACTTCCAGCTGAATGGCTATGATAAACAGAGATGAGAATGCAGAAGCAACAGCCTTCCTCACTCCCAGCTAAGTTCATACCCTCCCCTTTCTTTACCTTCTATTTCTGAGTCGCTGTCATTTAATGAGGGGATGTTGATGAGCGTCTGTTTGCTGTCCCTTAGCACCACGAGCTGGAGTTTCCCTCTTGACTTTTCTATCAGTTTTCGAGCATCCGTTAGAGACATGTTCTCGGTTACAGTTCCATTTATCTGTGTATATGAAGAACAGTAATGTTCCATGTAATACAACTATTAAGAGTGAAATAGAAAAGTTCTTATTTTCCCCTGCTAAAAATGTAAAGGCTTTGCTCAGCTATTCAAACAGACATGGGCTTTAAGATGACAGAATGAACAAAAATGAATTATCCTTTAAATTAAATATAACCCTGCATGTCTGAAACCCAAACACAGGTGTGAGAGTTATAGTGTGCTCAAGTGACTCTGTGAATTTACTGAACTTCCAAGTTCAAGACAATGGCTTGGTTTACTATTGGAACATGTTTCCTGACTGGAGAGATTTACAAAAACTATTAAATATTCAGCATTCATATACCACCAAGTCACCCTCTCATCTTTCCTTCATTCAGAAAACAGGAGCTTAAGCTTTAAATAAACAGGGGAAGAAGGATGTCTTTGTTGAGATTTTTTTCCTTTAAACTGACATTCCTCTATTACAAATCTCTAAGTATGGTTTTCCTGATAAAAACAATCTCTCTGCTGTTCTTCCTGGCTTTGTCTTACTATTGAGACTCCCATCTGAGCAAAGTTTCACTGTGTTGGAACTTCAATGTGGAAATGCAGACTATGAAGCTGAGCATGAACCTGGTTGTTCTCTGCCCTTATCCGCCCACCTTGAGAATTATGTCTCCTTCATGCAGGTTGCCGTCTTTAGTTGCTAGACCGGTTCTGGTCATTTCCTTTATGAAGATCTGACTCCCAAGACGGAGACCATATTCTAGGAGACAAACATACACATATTTCATTAACACGTCCAGAAAACTGAGTTTGCCTTTCAGGACTAACTACTTTAAAATATGTACGAAAGTTAATTTTGCATGTGAGAGAGTCTGTAAGACCACCGGCTTGAACTTGTCGAAACTGTCACTGTCATAAAAAACAAAAGAGGCAGAGAGATTGTTCTAGATTAAAGGAGATATCAAAAAACAAACACACTGCGTAAAACTTCACTAGGTCCTCAATTCAATATGCGGGGTGCGGAGGGGGCGGTATGGGGAGGGAGGATGTATTACATTATTTTGGAATAACTTCAAAATGAACTGGGCTATATTAAAAGGCATATTCATGCTAATTTCTTAACAGTGATGATGGCATTATGGTTATGTAAGAGAATATTCTTGTCCTTGGGAGATACCCACTGAAATATTTAAGGATAAAGTTCATGTTGCCTGCAATTTATTTTCAAGTGGGTCCCAAAACACCAATTAGAGACAGAGAGGAGGTAGGGGAAGAACAAGGGGAGGGAGAAAGGGAAAAAATAGAAATGGAACAAATGTGGCAAAATGTTAAAAACTGGTAAAACTAGGTGAAGGCTATTTGAGTATTTGCTACAAAATTAACACTTTTCAAAATAAAATGTTGGGGGAAGGAAAAAAACACAATTCAGTACAGGCATGTTCTGACAATCCAGTTGCCTATAGGAAGGTACCACCTATATTATACTCTCCATCTATAACAATTTAAATTGTGTAGGGTTTGGCACTGAAAAAACTTCAGTGTGTGAAGAATAGGGATAAATAAACCAGCAAAGCAACAGATACAGTATTCAACTAAAACTGGCACAGCTCTGGGGATTCATGGACTTAGTGTTGATCTCAAAAGAAAAACCACTGTATTTACTAAGTATATATATACTTTAAAATATTTTAAATATTATTCTGATTTTACTAAACTTGTAAATAGACATATTTTAAGGATGAATTTCGGTTATTTTAGGAAGCTACCTAAACCTAGCAGGTTTTAAAAGAGGCACATTCAAATTTTCATTATTATTGTTATGGACTAAAATCTTATCAATTCAAAATAACTTTTTACTACTTAGATATAGATTTAAAGATCAGGTTTAAGTGACTTACAGTAAGTTTGCATCAGATCTTACAATGATTAACAGTGTTGAGGTCCACCCCCACCTTATAGGAAGATGATGCTCAAGAAATAATAAGGGTAAGATGGCTGACATTTTATTTCAAGAATGGCAATTGCTTACTGGTTAAACAGCCTCACAGTCCAGCACAGAAGGCTGAGACAAACCTCAGCCATGACGTCTCACGTGTCAACAATTCCTCCGTCCTCTTAAAAACTGTACTCTCACTGTAAAATTAACAAGTTGCTATTGATGTGTCTGTAGGCATCTTTCAAATGAAGAAAAAAATCAGCTGACCAGCTTCTAAGACTTTTACCAGCAAGTCTATCTAATGTCCATGAAACACGTAAATGCTGGCCATATGAGTGGATCATATTTATCTTAATCAAATGAAGATCTTGCCAACAGCCAGATATTTTTAAAGATAATTCTTATGGAACTCTAGCCAGTTATGCTTAATTATTATGTAATCTTAGCAAAAGGTGGCTTTAAAAATCTTTTTGAAAAAGTAGAACCTTGGGAGGAAAACAATGAACACTGAATTCTAAGTTTAAAGAACAAAATGGCCCAGAAGGAGTAAAATGTCATATCTGCAAAAGGGCACGAGCTCCCTTTGTTCCTCGGTAGTATTACTAAGACCAGGTGTGACTTGGGCAGTTTCTTAGGACATGCAGCATCTTTTTTAACTGTGGATCACAATTCATGAGTGAATCTTGAAATCAATTTAGTGAGCTGTGACCAGTATTTTTTAATTTAATGTAATGGAACTATTCAAAAATCAACACACAGTAAGGATTGTTCCATGAAACATTTGGTCGAGTTTTTCACATATTGGTGCACCCACAATTATTTGCAGGATGTGGTTCTTTCTGTGGCAGGAGTGGGAGGGGGGAGAGAAGGCAAAAGAGGAAGAAGCAGGAGAGGAGAAAGAGGAAGAGGAAAATACTGAAGAGTGCAGCGGGGAACTCAGGAACCTGGGTGCAAGTCCTACAGAACATACAGTAGGCCTCTGTGAAGGATGCCTCATATCAAGTCATCTTTCTCAAAACTCTTCAACAGTCCACAATCTGGAAACAGAATGGTTTTCACCTGCAATTCTTGGGGGTTGATGATGTCATTATCTAGGATGATAAGATTCTCTAGAACCCTTAAACCACCTAAGATGCACATTCCTCAAAGATCATACAATCTCAACTTGCACCATTACTTTCTGGGCCTGTGCTCCAGGTATCTTGTTATTCACATCCTTACAATTATTTCAATATCTTTTCAGTATCAGGTCTTTCAACAGGTACCCAGTTCTATAACTCAAACTTTATGCACCTCTAGAGGAGCTAAAGAAAACAAATCGTTTCATCTGATAGGCTCTTTAAAATGCAAATTCCCAACCTAAAAAGCAAGCAATCTTACACATTACACTCTTGGATACTCATCTTTTTTCCTCTTTGAAGGAGAAGAATTAGACAACGAAAAGAGATAAAACATAAATTACAAGGAATTTAATATGTTGAATGCCAAGAATCAATGCAAGGAATATCACAACACGGGGTTCTAAATCCCTGTTCATTCACCTACTTGTTTCCTGTCATTTATTTCCAAGAGATGAAGTTTAGGTTCCAACTCTACCACTTATCAGCTTCAAGGTGTGGGCAAGTCACCTCCCACCTCTGAGTTTCACCTAAGCTGCAAGTAATACTGGTTTGTCTACCTATCACACAGGGCTTTAGTGAATTCGGACATGATTAAGTGCATGCAACTGCTCCAGGCACATGACATGGATCAGCAGTGAAGGACAGAGCCCACCTCATTTGTGGACACACCATAAATCTCTCACCTTACTATACCCACCTGTAAAAGAGGAGCGGTTTCCCACCCACCATGCAGGCTTCTTAGTGAGGATTAAATAAGAAAATATTTATGCCACAGAGGACCTGGCATAGAGCAAAATCTCAATCAAGACTGGCTGGAGTATCATCCTCTACTGTGGTTTCATTAGTTTAAGCTGCTCTGGGTTCACCAGGACAGTTTGTTAACAGGAGGGGCCACCCCAGTGTCTCTGATTCAGTGGGGGCTGGGCTGGGGCCTAAGAATCTGCCTTTCTAACAAGAGTCTAGGTGATACTTATGCGGCTTTGAGAATCACTGGCCTAACCATTTAAAGCCAAATTTCTGCCACCTGGCTCTGCCACTGATGATATAACTCTGTGCAAGTCAACGAACTTCTCTGCGCCTCAAGTTTCCTAGTCTATAAAATAAAAATATGAGTAACACCCACAGGAGGTGGTGATGAGGATGAAATGAGCTAATCTGTGCAAAGCATTTAGGTCAGTGTGGGGCACAAAGCAGCTACCACGGAAGAGTCAGCTATTGTTACAGTGCTTTTCTTCATCACGCATGACTACCTTCATTTGCTTTGCTTTTCATCAGAAGGACCCCGATGGGCTTGTCCGAGTCCGGCCGCCCCCGGGGCTCTGGGCTGGGGCTGCGGGAGTGGAGGTGCTCGCGGCTGCGGCTCTGGGACGCCCCATGCCGGGCATCAAGCTGGGCCCTGTGGCCGTACTCCCCCTCAGGGGTGTAGGCGCGTTCGTAGACCGGGTCAATGCTCCGGCCGCGGCTGCGCTCCCGGGCTCGCCCGTAATCATCGTGGTCCAGGCCCCGCTCGAGGCTGCGGCCGCGGCTGCGCTCCCGGGCTCGCCCGTAGTCATCGTGGTCCAGGCCCCGCTCCAGGCTGCGGCCGCGGCTGCGCTCCCGGGCTCGCCCGTAGTCGTCGTCCTGGTCCAGGCCCCGCTCCAGGCTCCGGCCCCGATCCCGGCTGCGCGCCCGGTCGTGGGGACGGCCCCTCTCAGGGCTCTCCTCCCAGCTGCGGCTGCGCCCTCCGCGGCTGCTGGGCCGGCTCCTCTCGCTGTAGCCGCTGCGGGCGCTTCTGCCATCAAACTCGTCCATCTCCTCGAAAGCCCGGTCATCTTCGTGGACGGGAGGACTGCCCTGCAGCGGGGCCAGTTGGACCTTCCGGGGCCTCTTGACCACCTGTCACCAAACAAACAGTGGAGACACCAGACAGTCACAACCAAACAGAGAGAATACAGTGGTTAAGAGCCCGGGTTTCCTTCCCAGTGAAACTGTGTGTTCCTACCCAGGCTAGGCCTCAGGTTCCTCATCTTTAAAACAAGAAGGATAAATACCCCAGAGTGTTAAGAAGAAAGGAAGACAATGAGTATAAAACCGAGCACAGTTTCTCCAAAAATCTGCTTCTACTCAAAAGTGTGAAAAGCACCAAGAGGCTTTAAATCAGTACGTTACAAAAAGGAAAATGTGGAAAGTGAGACATTCTGTGTAGGAGTGCCTAGGTTCATCCATAAATCAATGTCATTCAAGGGGTGGGGGGCGGGTGGCATGTAGGAGGAGAGAGGAGGGAAAAGAGGGATCCTTTAAAAACACTGATGAGACGAGGAGGACCAAATGTGACTCATGAACTTTGGCCCCTGGATGGAGAACAAAAACAGTCTATCAAAGTCACCCTAGGACATGGACTGTGTACTAAATGACATGGTGAAGTTATTATTACTTTTCTTTAATAGGATAACAGTAGTAGAGTTATGTAGATGAATGTCCTTATTTAGGAGATTTGAGAAGTAAGAAGGGTTGAACGGTCATGTCTTGCCCCTTCCCGTCAAATGGTTCACTAAAAATAAGTATGTCTTTATATACACATACAGAGAAAAATTAACTGAATATGGCAGAATATTTACACTATAGAAGATATGTGTTGATTATACTAATCTTTGAACTTCCCTTTTTGTTTGAAAATTTTTATCTTATAAAGTTGGGGAAAAAAAAAATCAAACACCACACACCCTGTGTATCCCCCCAGCACTGTCTCTAACACACCATGTTCCAATTCTCGCTCGCTGTGTCCACTTGCCCTGCTGGAGAGAACACTCCTTACAGCTCAGACCTGCTCCAGGGTTAAGCAGATATTCAACCAATGTTTGCCGAATGACTGAATGAGCCAATAAATGAGTGAATGGCACAGACTGCCAGTAATCTCCAAAGAAATGCGAGTTTATGAAGAAAGAACATGATCCTGGAAGAGCTCTTACAGATGAGTTTATGAGCTCGTAATTTAGTTTCTAAATTAATGTGGTTTTACCATTGTTCGCAATCTAGTTAATTCTCTTAGAGAATAATGATCTAACCTGGCTCTTCAGGCAAATTCATGCAGGTAAGAGAAGCACTGGTCTTAAGTCAGGAGAAGGATGAGAGGGCAGGAAGGGTCTTTACATCAACCCTAGTTAGCATCACCCTCCCAACGTACTGAGGGTACAGAGGCAGTGGTGCCTAGATGGTGCAATTCTGTCAAGTGCTGAAGAGTAAGTAGTAATTTTCCTCTGGGCATAAAAACAAAGTGCTACGGAGTCAAGCTGAAAACAAACCCAGGACGTACAATGGCAGCGATCTTCCCACTCTTCCTCAGCTGCTGAACGGCGAAAGAATGGAGCACGTCTTCCATGGGGGTGCCGTTAACCATGACCACCCTGTCATTCTCTCTGCAAACAAAACAGAAAAATGGGATAGGAAAAACTCCCAGCTCGCCCCTCTGAATGGTTCATTTAGGAACAAATAAAAGCAAAAGATTAAAGGCCTTGGTGTCTAATGACTCCTGAGGTTTAATCTGTCAACTTGGTCTGAGCTCTTCAGAGGAAAGAACCCAAGAGACACTCAGAGCGCTTTGGACAGTGTCTCCTGGAAACCACCTGCAGAGAAGGACCCAAACCCATGGGGTCCCTCCAGGAGTCACTGGACGGCACTATGGTCTGGGCAGAGAAGGAACATCAGGCCCTCCTTACCCATAGTGTATGGTGGAACACGGTACATGGTATGCTCCAGCAAATCTGCAGATGCCCCCAAAGGAGGCTGACAGTCACTTGTATTTTGGAGGGGATGAAGTCAAGAGGTTGTCTCAGCTTCTTAAAGAAATTCTGAGGTCACAGAACCCTAACTCTCAACTTTATCTCATCCCAAAAATGATGTAAAAATTCTACCATGCTCTCTATATGAAAGAAAACTAACTTACATATATATATTCCTTCCTTTTTTTAATTTTAAAAGTGCACACCACCAAAAGCCCCCTGTCTAGGGCCAACCAGTGGACTGGCAGGGATCGGGAGCAGGAGGAAGGACACTCACTGAAGCAGCCCATCGGCGGGCCCACCCGGGAGCACGTCAGAAATGACGATTGATGTCTCCCCATTCTCAAAGTGGGGGTTGTCTCTGCCTCCGGATACTGCAATTCCAAATCCTCTCTTGGAATCCTGGTCATTGAAGTTAAGATAAAAATTAAAATAAAATCCTCTATAAGTGGCTTTCAGGATTTATTACAAGCAGTCAGTAAAATAAAGGTCAAACCAATAAACAGAGGGCTTTAGAGAAACAAGTGAGAAACAGAACACAACATCATCATCGTTAGCTGACAGGTTTATAAAGGGAAATACCTTATCTAAAAGAAACAGCCTTGTGAAAGCCGGACAAGATTCATAGCACAGACTGGAGTTATCTCTAGAAGCTGGCAGGGGATGGAAATTACATCTTCTGTCCAAATAAGTATGTGCTATTGGAATCACCAATCACACCTGTTCTCATGTCCAGGCCTGAGCTGGAAAGGCTCGTCACAACTGAATCTGTGCGAAACCCGTATTTTTAAAGAATACCTTTAACTTACAACTTAGAGGAGCTAATGGTCTCACTTTAATATACAGTGAAGAAAAAGTATATGGATTTTTAAAGACAAAATCTGAAGATGAACTTATTTTTGACATCTTATGAGACAGCAAAGTATTAAATTCTTTTCCACATGCATTTAGGATGGATATAGAGATGAATGAGATTCAAGATTAATCTAGAAATGCATAAGGGTGAACCCAAATAATACAGAATCCTAATTCATTTCAGTGTTCAAAAAAGCTAAGCTCCTGGATTTCATCCAGGACTACATGTGGACTGTATTCACATCCAGGGATATATGTGGCTATAATGCTAAATAAGAGTTTGATTATATTAAAATCTATTCGGAGAATAAAAGAAACCTTCACCCAAAAAAAGTTCCCATGTGGGGCCCACGATGCCAATTGTCAGCAAACAAAAACACAGAACAAGTTGGGCTGTTGTTCATTAATCCCATGGCTTTGAATTTGGCAGCACTGTCACCTGATACCAGTTTTAACACAAAGATAGCTCTATCCTCTGTACCAGGCCTAAAATGTTTCTCACCTTTGCCAATTTGTGGTTCAAATTCAAATGGTATATGGCAAAGGGGCAGAGAAAACAGTCAGAATGGAAGCCCCAGAAAATGACAAGAGGTGAAAAATAAGACCTAATGGGGGAAGCCCCTCAACGCAAGAACTCATGATTACTGCTCCAGAAGTTTCAGCACCTGAGCATCCATCTGTGTCCAGAAGTTTCAGCACCTGAGCATCCATCTGTGTTTTTCTATCTGAATTGACTCCATACACATTTATTCAAAAACCAGTTTCCACTGAAGTCAAGGTCTGAAGTTCATGGTTGTGATGGTCAAAGGAAAACTCTCCCTTTGAGGAACTTAGACTCCATCTACACGGTGACAGAGACTGGAAGGACTCAGAGTGGAAAAAGACCCATACAGGGCCCAAGAAAATCATGAGGCTAACCAAGGCAGCTTGATGAATAAAAATCACGAGTGTGTGTTTAGTTCATTTAGCCATTGAGCCACACACAAATCACTTACAAGTTCTTAATGGCTGCACTTGTCTTGAGTGGGGCTAACACCTATCATGCCTACCTCAAACTCTGCTGTCACAATAAAAAGGAATAGAGCTAGCATTTATTAAGCAGCAATTATTAATGTGTATTGGACTCCAAGTTCTAGAAGTTCTTTGTATTACCGAATTTAACCAAGAGGGGTAATACCTGTGACAAAACTTTAAAAATTCAGTAAAATACATTTATGTATTTTATGATCTTACTTTATGATCTTACTTCTTTCAATCCCATTGTGTGTGGGGGGAGGGTGAGGGGGCATCATTAAAAATCTGATTAACTTAGCTCCATTAATACAATCAGGAGTGGGACAAGGAATACAACCCATGTCTCCTGAGTGCTAAACCAATGTTTTAAAGTTTAGTTTGGACTTAAAACTCACTGAGGGAATGATGTTTTAAATGCTATACTTAAAATTACAGGAGTTGTAGAAGCTGCCTTAACATTAAACAGAACAGATTATTTCCATTCCTCCCTTTCTTTCCTCTTTTTCCTGTAAAATATTCTATCTGAAGACATGTAAACACATTAATGAATCTCTATGATTCTTCTATATTATACAGATCTTAGCCAAAAAATAGAACAACATACAAATCCTTGTTAATGCAGTAATTGTGTCTGTGTACAAATAAATAAGACCCATGATCTGTTATGGTATGTATAAATGGAGTATTACTCAGTCATTATATGTCCACTTGTATGTGGAATCCAAGCAAAGATATTAGTACAAATGAACCTACAAAACAGAAACAGACATAGAGAACAAACTTATGGTTACCAAAGGGGAAAAGGAAGGGGGGATAAATTAGGAATCTGAGATGAACAGATACACACTATATATAAAATAAACAACAGGGTCCTTCTATATAGCACAGGAAACTATATTCAGTATCTTTTAACAACCTATAATGGAAAATAATCTGAAAAAGTGTGTATGTGTGTCTGTATACATATACACATGAATCACTGTGCTGTATACCTGAAACATAGTCAATCAACTATACTTCAATTTAAAAAAGATCCATGATCTGTAAATGCAAGAACAGATATGACATATGTAGCAGATATGACATACGTAACACTCACCTTCTGTAGGGTCACAGTGTACTGTTCCCATATCAGTTCTTCCATGCCTGGAGCCTGTTTTAAAAGAATCAAAACCAATTTGATTAAAACCACAAGCATTTCAATGCTGGTAATAAAACTGTAATTCAAAATGTCTCCATAGAAAGTCAAGCTCACACATTCCACACATCAAAAAGAGTGGGAACATTATACTACTTATTTCCAAACACACTCTCCTTCAATGAATGGCAGTCTTAACAATACAAGGAAAATTAGTGAAATACATACTGAGAGATATACCCTAAAAAGGAAGAAATATTAAGTGTTAAGCTTTTTTCTTATCACCACTCCAAAATATGGTCATGATAAAAGCCCTTATCTAGAGTTGGAAACAGATATATTTCAATTAAAAAAAAAATCCCCTTCCTCCAGTCAAAAGCAACTTCCTAGGCAAGTTTATGCATTTTTAAGTCTAAGGGAATCCTAGGCCTTTATCAAGAGAGTGCCAAACTTGAGACTATTTGTATCAAGGTCTGTGGGACCCCTTGGCCTTTTCCCCATCAGTATTATGGGTATAAAAGATGATAATGCCAGCATAAACAGACCCCTGGGTGTCAGTTTCTGACAATATTCTAAAACAGATGTCTAGACAAACCTGAAAATAGTGGATATCATTTCATAATCATAATAATCCATTAAATGCATGCTGGCTTTGAGGGAAATCCTTAAAGGCAAGTAATGCCAAGAAAGCTCAAAGCCAGAGAGATAAGGCAGCACTGCAGCAGGCATTTCAACAGGAGGCTGGAAAGAGAGAAAACTGTAGATGTAAACAGGGTGGAGATCAGATCAGAGTGGATGTATAAGGGGGAAAAGCATGCGAGGCAGATGGAGACAGCAGGCATCGCTGCCTGTCTCTTTCTTGGCTCTGGGCAGAGTGGAAATATCTAAAAATATCTCCCTGGAGAATTCCTGTATTGATAGACCTGTACTCACTCAGGCTTGAGACTGAAATTCATATTATAGAAGTGACGACACCCTCCCCTACTAAAACACTCATACCCAAAGTGGTTCATTGGCAGCACCACCCAGGTACATGGAGTGAATGAAATAGTCCAGTAACACACCAAAAAATACCCAGGAACACACTACAAAACAGGCTTCAGAGAATCCTGCAGACAAGTATCTGTGGAACATGAGTTCAGAGTTAAACACAAACACAAAACAGATCATCATTAGTGAGAGTTAAGAGAAATAAACCGCAGAATCAAAGTCTGTGGATTTTGGAAAAAATCAATCACAGACCAAAAGAAAAGTATAATATGTTTCATGTGTCTTTCATAAGAAATTAAAAAGGGGGAATTCAAAGTGTAATCAAAGAACAGCATCAAAAATGACCAAGCAAATCTAAAATTTTTTTTAGAAATAAAAAAATACGATAATAAAATTATGTTTAAAAATGGATTGAACCACATACCACAGACAGTTGAAGATAATAATGAATTGGAAGAAAGATGTGAATAAATTACCCAGTGCAACACAAATCATTAAAAAAGTGAAACAGCTGAAAGAAATTAAAAGTGAGATAGTCTTACAATGTGTCTATCTAGATTTCCAGAAGAAATTAAGAAAGACCCAGAGGAATCGGGTGGAGAGGGAGGTGGGAGGGGGGATTGGGATGGGGAATACATGTAAACCCATGGCTGATTCACGTCAATGTATGGCAAAAACCACTACAATATTGTAAAGTAATTAGCCTCCAACTAATAAAAATAAATGGAAGAAAAAAAAAAAAGAAAGTGAGACAGATGCAATACTCCAAAACAAGACCTGATGATTCTTCAGGTTCAGGACTGGTACATCACAAACAGGGTAAATTAAAAAAAACAAATTAAAAAAATCACTTTGAAAAACATGGTAATCTTACTACAGAAAAAGATACAGAGACTTGAGAGTAGCTAGGCAGAAAAGAGTACAAAAGAGCAATTAGAATAACACTTGACTTGGAAACAGCAATAATGAAAGCCTGAACTCAGTAGAACTATATCTTTAGAACAGTACTGTTGATTTGGGGGACAGACTTTTTTTTAAACAACAAAATTGAGACAGATTATTACCACAGACAAGCAGTAAAAGAACTTCCAAAGGACAAATTTAAGAAAGGAAAATAATCCCAGAAAGAAAAATAAAACAAGAAGGGAGGTACACCCAGATGTATATTGGCTATAGGCAACTATAATAAACGTGTAATTTTTGAGAGTTAACTAAGACAGAACTAAAATTCTGTGAGCTTCCCAAGTGGCTCAGTGGTAAAGAATCCACCTGCCAAATTAGGAGATGCAGGAGATGTGGGTTCAATCCCTGGGTCAGGAAGATCCCCTGGAGGAGGGCATGGCAACCCACTCCAGTATTCTCACCTGGAAAATTCCATGGACAGAAAAGCATGGCTGACTACAGTCCATGGGGTCACAAAAGGTCGGAAACAACTGAGCGCGCGCACACACACACACATACTACTAGGCAACACAGTAGGTAAATCTAGAAGACTGTAACATGATTTAATTCTTCTAAATATTGCATTGAAGAGCAAATTAAACTGTTGATTAATTTTGAACTTCATTGAGAAAAATCCACATATTAAATTTTCTGGTATGGGAATAATTAGAATATATAACTTCCAAAAAAGAAAAGGGAAAAATAAAATGGAAACAAAAGTCAATCCAAAAGAAGGCAGAAGAGACAAAATGGGAAACTGAGTAAAAGGAGGCCAAATATTAGTACAAAACATAAACTACGATTGTAGAAATGAATGTAGAAGCGTTACCACAATAAAGACAGATGGTCAAAATGGATTAAAAACAAGAAGATCTAGTTATATGTTTTTTTTTTTTTTTTTTAAGGCTTGAGGATTTTTATTTATTTATTTATTTATTTATTTATTTTTTTATCACAACCATAGTGTATCTTTTTTTTTTTTTTTTACATGTATTCCCCATCCCGGTCCCCCCTCCCACCTCCCTCTCCACCCAATCCCTCTGGGTTATATGTTTTTTAATAGACAATATCTAAAACATAAGGACTTAAATTTAATTATATGAATAAAAAGCTTTACTGTACTTGTTTACAAATAATTTAAGAAAAACTGTCTATTTTACATTAAAATTTTTTTAAACTCAAATTTGCCAATTCCTGCACTGCTACTAATAAAACAGAGAGAAGAGAATCAAAACATGTCCAGATACTGTCCTCCTGTTTCACCCAGTTAAACTCTTGGGCTCCGTGGGGAGGAGGGGGAGGGGGAAGATGCCGCTTAGCACAGAAAGCTAGCGACTGATATATTAGAGCAGATAATGTCTGTCTTTCGGTAGAACGGGGTTAGAAAAAGGAAATTTTGTTTGTAGAGAAGATGAGCCAGACTGCTCTTGAGTGGCTGTCACTGATTACTCAAATCAGAGGAGTTTTTGATCCTTTAGTCCCCTCCTCCCTCTATGTACTTACAGTGGGGACATTTCCCTGGTTAATACCATCTGGCTCCCAGAGATCAGAATTCTCAGAAAGAGATTTAAAAATAGGACTTAGATTGTCTCTAGGGTTAGAAAGAACGCAAAAAAGGGTGCCTGGAAAAGGTGAGAACTAGTTTCTGTGCTACCCGCACACCTGGGGCTGAGTGCTTTGGGATGGGGGTGCATTAGTGTCCAAAAAGGGTTGATGCTGAGGCTAAATGAAGGCATGGTAACACAGTGAAACACGTAAGCATTCAAAGGAGGTAATTGTCCAAGATATGTAAATCTCTCCCATTGTTTAAGTTTATTCACCGCGACCAGTGTTCTTCAATTTAAAAAAAAGAAAATGAATTTTCAAGTGACTTTTTTCTATCTCACTTTTGTCTCATATCTTCTAGAACAGTGTCTGGCACACAGAGTAGGCACTCAAAAACGTTTTCTTTTCAATAAACTAATGGACATATTATTCATTCATCACTCAATTAATATGATGAAGACACTGATTTCTATTACATACAAGTTTTCCTTTAAAGTAAATTTCTACTCCATTCAGTGGCTCTCTGCTTTTTCCATATCATGCTTGAGGTGGTTAGCTGGAAACTCAGGTGCCTATGGTCTGATGTTCCAGAGAGAAATAGTTTATGACCATTTCTCTCTGGAGTTTTGTTGTCTATATATAGCATTTTCCAATTTGTGCCAGTATAACACAACTTTTCCAAGATTTTAATAAAGTTTCCTATTTTTTAAAAAAGTGTTTCTTCTTAAAGGAAAATAATAAGCAGAAATCCAGCTGATTAGAATTGATCATCCCTTTCCATTTTCACAGAACACCTCCTAACATCTCAACACCTGTTTTCAATGTGGCTTCAATACAACCAATCCACTATCACCCTGAAGTAATCTTACTAGCATGTATGTTTTCCAAGTTTCTTCTCTGCACTTTACTTTAAAGCTAACAGATTTCAACAGTGAATTGCTCTGAAAGTTGTGGTAAAATAAATACAGTTGCCAACTCCTCTTTGAGTATAGCTATACTCTCATGTATTAAGAAGAACCATCATTCAGTACCCTACGCCAAAAAAGTGCAGTACCATGACCCCAAGGATTGGGCAATGCTATGGGGTGGATGGAGAGCACAGTTCCCAAAAGGACAGTGATCTTTCGGTTAAATAAATCAATTCACAGTGAAACACACAGGCACTGAAATAATCATTTAACTTCTGTCCATTTCTAGAGTTTTTTTCATCATGATGACCATATTTTCAATTAGAAAGAGAATTAGTTTTATGCTCTTAGGCCAACCTGTTCTTGGGAAGCAGTGGGAATATAAATTGGCATAAATCTTCCAGAAGGCAAATGCCTAATGTATTTCAAAATGTAAAATCTACATACCACTTGATCAACCAGTTCCAGTTCTAGTAATTTATTCTACAGAAATACTTGTACAAGTGCAACAAGATATACATATAAATTTATATAAATATACAGCTGTTTATAGTTTTTCATAATCAATCAAATGCTCAACAATAGGAGACTGATTATATATATATATATACTTAAATGTCTATTAAAGGA